AAAAAAAAAAAAAAAATTATAGATTTGTTTGATGCATCATTGTTAAAGTTCTTTAGAGTTTGCATCCTGTTGTAGCTATTGTATATAAATAAAAAGAAAACAAGCCAGAGATACTAAATGAATGAAATTACAGACTCATACCAAGTATTTCACAGTAATGTTACTTAATAACCCTCAAATGTCCAGTCACTATTTTCCTACCTGTTGGTTGTTGTTTGGTTTTTTTTTTGCTCCCAGGTCTTAAACTCAGGACCTTTTGCTTGTGATTCAGGTACAGAGCCAAATCCCCAGCCCCTGCACTTTTTTTGTTTTGACAGTTTGAGTTACAATTCAAACGAAGTTGCTGCATCGCAGTTGGTTGGTATGCTTCTTGTGTCTCTTAATCCATAAGTTGCCCATCAGTCTGCATGTCTCTCTCTTCTTCTCTTTCTCTCTTTCTTTGTCACTGTCTCACTTTTTTTCTTCCTCTCCTTTTTTTTTTCAGTTTGTTGAAGAAACTGAGTCATTTGTCCTGTAGGGTTCCCACATTTAGAATTTCATTGACTATATTCTCATGGTCCCCTATATTTGCAGTAAACTGGTAGTTCTAGAAACTTCATAAGATTCAGGTTTAATTTTTGTATTAATGTATGCATAAGTACCTATGATAAAATTTAACTTGTAAATTAGACACAGTAATGGGTTAACTCTAATTAATAATAAAATGGAACATTTATATCAGTATACTGCAGTATAATAAAGTTTACATGAATATAGGCTTTCTTAAACTATTTTATTATAAATGTTAGCAGCCTCATCATAGTTTATTTTCTTCCCTTATGTGGATAGCTTTCACCTTTGCACTTAGAGGAAGCACTGTCTGACTTGTCTTTGACATCTTAATTGCCGTGGTCGTTGCTCTTGTATTTTGGTGCTGTAATAAGGGAGACTACTGGAGTTTCTGTGAATGGTTTGGGCATTACCTTCCAGTTGGGAAAGTGAACAATATTTAGGAAAGCACCAATACTTGCTGGTTGAGCGATAGGAAAGGTACTCTTTTTTTCCTTCAACACAAAATCCAGCATGTCCTTTTATGTATGGGTGCACTGTTAACTCGTTCAGGGTCTCGGGGAATTGATGTTTTAGTTGGCGTGGTCAGGACAGATGTAAAGGAAGTGAGCCAGCCACACTGGAATCTGTAGTAAGGCTGCCCAAGGCAGTGGAAAGAGCAAGAATGTTGGCCCTGAGCTGGAAACTTGCTTGTTGACCATATCAGCATCCAGGGCAGACTGTGAGGTTAAAGGAGGAGCCAAAGCCAGATCATAGAGGGGCCCCAAGTAGTACGTGTTCCATTCAACCTTTGATGGGAACTTGGTGAGTGAGCAGGAAAGTTGCATGATCTGATTTAGGAGTAGAGGTCTCTGGAGAGTAGTTCCTGTAAGACAGCAGGAACGGAAACAGAATTCAGCCCATGTCATGGCCTGGGTGAAAAGCTAGTAGTACTTGGAGTCTGACTGCAGAATATGGCCGTAATGTCACTCCACTGCTCATAAAATCCCTCTATTAGTGCAGTTTGTGGGAAACTAATATATGCAGTTTAAAGTAAACATTTCATAGACCAAAGCAGCAAAATTTTTAAGGAACTATGGCATGCATTTTTTATGACTATTAAGAGTAAGTGACAGCCAGGGATTTAGCACAGTGCTGCTGTACCTGCCCCACAAGTGCAAGGTCCTGAGTTTGATCCGCGTACCAAAAAAAAAAAAAAAAAGTAAATGACAGTACAAATTTTTCTATTTGCTTTACTAAATAAGAAGCTAAGAACTGCAGACACAGCCTTCTCATAGCAGCTATGTGTTTTTTAAGCCTGAATATTTTTGTTTTGTTTTATTCATTGTCCTTGGTATTGTAATTGCAATCACATTGCCTGGTCTTGATTTTTTTTGGGGGGGGGTGAGATAGGGTCTCACTGTGTAGTTCAGGTTGGCCTTGAACTCACTGTGTAGCCAGCCCAAGTTAGCCTCAAACTCTCAGTGATCCTCCTGCCTCAGCCTTCTGAGTGCTGGGATTACAGGTGTACACCACTATGCCTCACTTTGTTTTGAGTTTTTAAAATGCAATACATTTATACTTGATTCATTTAAATGTTTGTATTGTAATCTACTTAATTTACTTTGTGAAATAAAGCAGGATCCAAAAGTTTACATATTTGAAACTTTAAATTTAAACTTTAATTTTAAAAATGATAATAAAATAACCAATCCTGGAGATCAATCATATTTAAATATATTTGTTTTTCACCTTTTTTTTTTCCTCTATACTGGGATCAAATAGGACTTTGTGCTTGCCAGACAGGTGCAGCACCACTGAGCTACATTTGTGGCCCTCATTTAGTTTTGATCAGATTTATTTCTAACTTCTCATTGGAAATAAAGAATATTTTCAGTTCTTTTAGTGACATGAAATTGGTAATTAAGTAATATGGATATTTTGGGCATTATGTTTTCCAGAAGTATTCTCCTTTGAAGCAACGGAATCTTTCTGTTTAGTCTTTAAGAAGTGTCTCGTTCCTCTTTGGTCAGTGCAGTTCTGTGTCTTTTCCTGTAGGTGGCACGCACTACCCTTCTTCCTGGCCTCCTAAAGACCATAGCTGCAAATCGGAAGATGCCTCTTCCTTTGAAACTTTTTGAAATCTCTGACATTGTAATAAAGGATTCTAGCAAAGGTAAGAAAGACTCACCTTCGATTTTCATAGTTAAAACACTTTTTTATTATAACGATTTCAATTCTATGGAAAAATAGAGAAATAGTATTATTCCTGTGAATCCAGGACTCAGCTTCAACAACTGTGAACACGTATCCAGCTTTCTTTTGTCTATGTCCCTACCATCCTCCCTGTTATTTATTTATTTATTTTTTTTGGTTGTTTTGAGACAGGGTCTCACTATGTAGTTGAAACTGATCTGGAACTCACTATGTAGTCCAGGATGGTCTTGAACTCACAGCAATCCTCCTGCCTCAGCCTCCCGAGTGCTGGGATTACAGACATGCACCACCACGCCCAGCCTCCCTGTTATATTTTAATATAACTCGTAGACAGCATATCATTTGGTCAACAAACACTTGAGTTAGTAGCCCTAATATATAAGCTCTACCACTTTTTTCACTTTTTTGTTTTGTTTTATTTATTTATTGGTACCGGGGATCGAACTCAGGTCCTTGCACTTGCAAGGCAGGGGGCGGAACCACTGAGACAAATCCCCAGCATATTTTGTTTTTAAATAACACCATTATCATATTTTATTAAATATCCTGTTTAAAATTTCCCAGTTTCATACATATATTATTATGATTGGTTTAGTCTCACCAGAATCCTAGCAGTGACAAGATACTATATTTAGATGGCATGTCTCATTTCTTTGAATGGAAAGCACATAAAAACCTCAACTTGTTTGGATGTTGGGATCATTGGTAAAGTGAGGTTAGCATCCAAGAGGCCTTGTATTCAATCCCTAGTATAACAAAGAAAAGAAAAGAAGAAAAGGAAGAAGTACAGAAAGGAACTAATGAGGAAAGTGTGAAAGGAAAGGAGAGAGGCTCTGGAACTTATATTGTGTGGTTTCTATGAATATTACTTTAACATCCTTGCTATCTTGTACTTGAGCAGTGATTGCCCAGCTTCGTTACTGTACCATTCATTATGAATGTGCCTTTTTGTCTTTGTGCCTTTTGAGTATGGTTTTCACTTACTGATATAGAAAGTTTCTCAGTCCAACACTCAGAGTGCAGGAGTTATTTAACAAATGTGTCATATACTTAGTATCAAAACCCAGTTGCCAGCAAAATCAGAGTCCATGTCTCCAGCTTGATTTAGTTTAGGTCCAGCTGTTTCTGGCTGAGTGGCTGTGGTCCCTGAGTGAATAGCGCCTCGATTAACTGCATTGCTGTAGTGTTCTTGGTTCCCTGGTTTTCACACAAGTCCTAGTAGTGTTTATACAGATTTTCTTACTTCAGACACTGCAAAATTCAGAGTATGTTCCTTTGAAGCAGCAGAGACCTTTTCCTCAATTTCTCCTGAAGAGGTAGTAGGCATCATTCTTCTTCCCCACATCCCATCTGCCCTAGTACTGGGGTTTGAATCCAGGGCCTTTGTCGTGGGCTACATCCCAGGCCTTTTAAAAAATTTTATTTTGAGACAGGGTCTCAATGAGTTGCTAAGTTGTCCAGACTGGACAACAAGAGCAATCTTTCTAGGTGGTATCCTCTGTCTTCTCTAATAGTATCTCATATAATGATTTGGAAAACTCAGCCAAAAAACTTAGTAATTTTCCCCCGTAAAGTGTTGGACTTGGAGCAGGGGCCAGAATTTAGAAATTCTCCATAGAGTGATAATAAAAGAAACTTGTAGCGACTACCACTTCATTTTATTACCAGTCTACAGAGAATTTTCCTTGGTTGGTAAATCTGTAGTAGAAATTAGAAAACAGTTATAGTGCCAGCTACACATAATTTTGAGGGATCTTAGGACTGGGGCAGAAAACTGAGAATTTTTTACAATTCAGTTGCTGCAAAGAAGTTTTGGCTACAGACTTGAAGCACTTTACTTTATTATAACCCTGGGTAGTGGTGCCTGTCCTGTTTTCCTTTTAATCTCTGTGTTGGGAAGGCCTAAGCATAGACTGTACTCTGCTTTTTGCTCTGGCCCCAATGCCTCTGTTTGGGATGAAACTCCCCTATTGAAACTTTTATCTTAAGCAGTATAGTATTTTTGAATAGCAGCCATTTTTAAATAAATCACCTAGGTGATAATGCAAAAAATCCAGTCCATATACTTTTTCACCAGAAGATTTACATTTCTGTTGTACTTCTGTTTTCATCAGAGAGAATAGTTCTCATCTTTATGGCAGATCTTTTTATACCTGTTTTTAGTTGAAATGATTCTGCTCTATTTCCCCGTTAGTTTATGACCATCTGATTCTACTTTTGTTAATTGTCTTGCACTGGTTTATTCTTTTTTCTTTAATATTTTCTATCATATCATTAGGATTTGAAAAATGAAGGGAGGTAAATTTGCTTGCTACCATATTGAAAACACAGGTTTGCTTTGATTTACTTGGAGTGTGTTTTCTGTTTAGGTGGGCCTGGCTTTTATTTCATAATAGAAGAAGCCTTTTCTGGTGGAGTATTCTAAATGTGCACATGTGGATTCCTACTTGTCATCTGGTACACATAGAGGACTCTGGGAGAGGTAGCCAGGTCCAGGGACTGTACAGCCAGAGTGTTCAGGTTTCAGTCATGCTTCTCTCACTTAGCAGCTGCTTATCTTTGAGCAGTTTATTTAATCTCCCTGGGCTCAGTTTCTTCGTCTGTGCAATAGAGATAGTGATACCACTAGGATTAAATGAAATTGCATTTTGGAAAGTTCAAGCCCCACAATAAGCAATATTTGGTGTTTCTCTTGTTATTAGAGTGTAAGAGATTCTGAATGCCAGTTACCTAGCGTCATAGTCTAAGGCAGTGATGACGAATGTTCAGAGCTTTCAGTGATAACAGACAGCCCACTGTGGCGCATGTGGTTCCCTGGTCTATGGGAATTTTCTACTAAAATGACTTGAAAGTTTCACCTGGCATCAAAGGGTTAATGTCACCTTGCTGAGGCACTGGGTGCTGTGTTTTTGTCCTAATCTTTGACTTAACTGGTTTTTCCTCTGTTGTACACAAGGCATACGAATGTGGGATTTTACATAAAACACGAATGTTCTTGGAGTTATTTTCACCCACATCTTCAGTGATTTGACGTTGATGCTTTTATTGTCTCCCAAACCAGTAATCATTTCTTTGTTGGATGTACATTAGCTTTCTCTTCCTGCAAGAAAGAGTTGCCAGTCTTGGGGATGACAGACTTGTGAACAAACCCTTAGAGATTGTGCTGAAAGGGAATGTACAGAAAGCTCCAGGAGTGCAGAGCAGGGAGTGGTAACTGTCACTAACCGTGCTCCTAGCCTCATTTCCATTCAGGTTGGCAGGCAAAAAATGAAATCCTTACTGGATTTCATTGTGCCTCCCACAGATTCTGTCTGATCTGCATCCCTGATAAGAGTGAATGAAAGACTGCTGTCCCCTTTTTCATGCTCGATGTAATCGGCCATGTCGCACTGTGGCATAGACTCTTGACTGACCGTCCATGTGGAGTGAGACTGCCAGGCTGCCAGTGACCGAGTCAGGCACACTTTCCAAGCATTAAGGCTTCAGTCCAAATCAGGCACATTTAGGTTCTTTGAGGTCGAGCCAACCACTCTGTTTATTAAGCCTCAATATCCTAAGTTGCTGCAACATTTAAAAAAATTAGTCATCACTCAAAGGACTAAGCTGATTATCCCTTTTGTTGGGCAGAGTGGCATGTGTTTTTGGAATGAGAAGTTGAATGCAGACTGCCGTGGGGTAAATTTTTCAGCTAGGTAGCAGGGAAGTCAGTGGGGGAGCACCGAAGCCTCTACACAGGGCTGCTGTGTGAGTACTGGTTGGTTTCATTAGTACCGTTCAGTTTTGAGAAAAAACTGTAAACAAAATAGTAAGTTACAGGGGAGCAAAGGACTGATTGTGAATTGCTAATCTTTTTGCCTAGAAGGGGAAGTATATTTTCTGAAGTCCAAATTTCTGGCTCGATCGTAATTCATTCCTCAGTGGTCACTGAAGTTGTCGGTATGCCTAGAACTTCACTGAGATGTAAGAGAATACACATCACTGGGTTGAGAGAGTTTGAGTTTAAGACGAGAACGAGCCTAAGGAAATGATCTTGGATTTGTAAAATGGATAGAGCAATTTAAATTAGCAGGATACACTCGCCTGATTGTCAATTTGTCATTTATCTGTGAAGAACCTTCATAATCAAATTGCCCTTCACTTTATCTTCAACTACTGAATTTTAGAAAGATAATAGGAAATAGGGAGATAAGTCTTCTGCAAAAGGGAAGGGGACCAATAGATGGGGGGGGGTGAAGATATGTTATGTGCATGTACCAACTCCCCACAAAGAATGTAACTATTATGTACTGCAAACCCGTGCTGATAAAAAAGACTAAAAACATTTTGGATTATAGTGGATGGAATAGATTAAAGACTCCTGACCGCTCACTTTCTCCAGAGTGAGCTTATTCCAATTGTACACTTCTTACTGAGCCCATTAGTGCATCCTCCAGAGCATTTTAGCAGTCCATGTTTAAGCCGCATTTGCCTTGCCCCACCCCAGACACTGTTGAAATAGTTTATAAAATTTCACATTCTCCCTGAAGGATTTGTAATTGAGAGAATGATTTCCTTCTCCTTAGCATGCCTGCCATGGATGTGGAAACACAGAATTTTTCTAAAACTTTAATTGGAATATATATATACGATTCTTGTTCCCTTCTCCTCCCTTGACCACCTGGGCTGCCATAGAATATAAGTAACTCTTTTTTGATTAGTTTCACTTTTCCATTTTTCAGTCGGTTTGTGCCATATATGTATGTCACTGCTTATCTGTCTTACCTTGTGTGCTATTAACACATGGAAACATGAGCAAGGCCCTGAGTTCAGTCCCTGGCAGCAAAAAAATAAATAAGTAAATAGGTCAGATTTTTATATTTACAACTGTATGTTTGGTAAATCATTTCATTATGGGCCTGACCTCCATTCTGAGAAATTGTCCACCAGTTTTGGAACCCTCAAATAACACATTTTCTAGCA